CACCCAAAATGTATTTCTCTTTTGAATATGCAAGAGTTGGGAACAAAAGGGTCAGATCTAGCATTGAGGTTGAGGAGGAGAAATACCTAATGTGGTAGTTGCTTGAGTTCCTGAAGTATGTGGATCGAAAATGTCACCCATCTGGGTGATTGTCCAGTGTAACATTCTCTACCCCTAATTTCAATTTCATTTCTGATAATTCATGAGTCCCTAATGTGGCATAATTATTGATAATTTTTTATGATCAAATTGGTGATTGTTGTTATGTTGTATGTTGTTGTTATGAGTCCCTGATGTAGGTTAATTTATGATAATTTATGGTTGTTGTTATGAGTCCCTGATGTGGCTTAATTTTGGCTATTTTTTTATTGTTGTTATGAGTCCCTGATGTGGCATAATTTAGCTTAAACTGTGATGATAATTTCTGATCTCATAATTGATGCATGAACTGATTATGATGGTAATTGATACATGAACTAGTTATGAGTTGTTATGACTTAGTGGGGTTGCTGATTGATGGATGATGATTGTAAGAATTTTGTTGTGTTTGATAACCTAGTTTGAGTTCCAAATTGATCTCAATGACCAGTGTTGAGAGATCATTATTGTCCTTGGTTGATCCCCTAAATAGAGTCCTTTTTTTGATCTTACTGATCTACTTTAGACAGATCATTTTTTGATGGTTGGTGACCTAATTTAACTCCCTTTTCGATCTCAATAAACATTTGTGAGAGATCAATAACTACACTAAATTCTATATAATGAAGGGACCCTTTTCATAATGAAAGACCTATTTGATTTGCTCCACTTTTTGGTTATTTTTCCATAGCCATATAGTGTTGAGGTAACAAACATTGTTTTTTAGTGTTGATGAAAAATAACCTTCTGATAGAATTATGCTTTTTTTTTTTTACAACCTAGAGGAAGAAGTTGTGGGTGCTTTTGTTGTTTTAATATAGTTCAACAAAATAAACATCACTATTCCATTACATTCACAAAAGGTTTCATACCATCCATACAACATTTGGAGTCCCACAAAAGATGCACATAACCATACATATACATACCCACATATCTCATCATGGTTATGTATGGCAGTCAAGATCTGTATCTAGGTGCTAATGACTTCTCACAATCAAACTGACACCTTAAAGGAAATTTTAAAAAAAAAACATATTATGATACCTAATTTAAGCATAATCTGTTTGTTTACTGTGAGTCCCTTTGTGGTGGCTTCTTTTCAATCAGCATCTACTTCCATTTAACCATCCTCTTGTCCTTGAACTTCATTCACTGGCTTAAACCTGTCATTAAGGTAGTTAACTGCTTGAGCTACCAAGTCAGGGCTTACTGTGAGCCTCTCAGGTAGAATACCTAGCTCCTCCAACCTTCTCTTCTTCATGTGGGGTGGAGTAAAGTTGTTGCCTCCCATCCTTGTCAAAATTTCAGTCATACATGACTGTAATGTGATCCATGTGAATTTGTTTGAAAGTGGTTCAAATGTATTGTATGCATCCTCAACCACTTTTACTAACTCCTCCACATTTTTGGGAAAGACTTATATTGAATTGATTGCATTATTGTAAAAAGCCCTAAATCAAGGACATTTAGGTCTGGAGATTATGGTGGCTGGTACACCATCTTAATGTTGAACCCATTTTGTGTACAAGTTGCCACAAATTCTAGATCACTTGGAATTTTGTGGGGTCTTGCATTATTCCATTGAATGAGAGTGTCCTTAGACAAATGAGCTGGCCAATTCTCTATTATGCATGGAATGACCTTATTAATCAACATGTCTCTAATGACATCCTTTGTGACTAATTGCATTAATTTCATCTCCATTGTACCTGTTGTTCTATTCATAATTGATTTCTTTGTCCTTTGCTCATAAACAAAGCCAAATATACCATACTTGCTATCATGGATCATCTCACCATTTGTGTTGTGTTATGGCTTTGCTATCATGACCATGAACATTTCCTTGACCTTAAACCTCCTAGACTGCTCACACCTATAAGGGTTTTCTTCATTGGGCAGAAGATAAAACCTTCTTGTCTCTGGGTTCAAATAAAACCATTTCTCATCAATGTGAACGGTGTTGCTCATGTCTGTATACATTGGGTCTTCTATCTCTGTGGCAGGGGTGAGGTGTGACAACACCCATCTTAGTCTTTCTATCTTATGATTATCAGTTAACTTTGGATGGTTGGTGCTTGTATGAGTCCTTAGCAGCCCCTTTTTCTTCACTTTGTGTATTGTAACATGTGAGATTTTTAAAGCATCTTCATAACTCCTTTCAGTGGTTTCTCAATCTAAGTGGGACTGAAAGGAGGAATTCCTCAGAATACTCTTTTCATTTGGGATCAACTTTGCCAATTTTTTTTATTCCTGACATCAATTAGCCCCCGATTCTATTTTTGAGTCATTACATCATTGAATATTTTGCTAATTGTTGATCTATGCACCCCAAATTTAGCTACAATTTTTGTTTGCATCCCTCTTTCTAGTGTATCATCCTCTCTAAGTTGTGTTAAAATTTCATCAACAATACCACTTTTTTTCACCTAAAGTAAGTTGTTTTCTGTCGCTTTCTTGCTGACCATTCTGATTTGCTTCAATATTTGGTTGGAGGAGTTGTTCTTCCATTGAAATTTGTTCCATATTGAAATAATCATCATCAAACACTTCTTCCATTTTTTTTGTTTCGGTTTCAGATTTTGCTTTGAGACAGTAGGCTGCCCACCACTAACCCCTGCCAAAAATGGTATTTTTTGGAAGCTGATGATGTAGATGATTATGCTTCAAGGCTTGACTTTTTGGAAGCTTGAACTGTTGACTATATTAATTTAGGAATTTAATGGTGGCATGTAATTTTTTGAACATGATGGGGTGTAGCAAATGCTGTATTAAATGGTGGTGTGTAATTTTTTTAATGTGGATAGTGGTGTAGTAAATGGTGTATTTATAACTTAGGCTAGGTGTAGTGAACATTTAAAGCATCCCACACTTGAGCCCCAGTGTGATCATACACTTGAGCCCCACTGTGATCATACACTTAAGCATGGTGGCGTCCAAAGGGAAGGAAACTAGAGTAAAAGAGTCGCCAACAAGTTTTAGGAACTTGTAAACCGTTCACAAGGTGAAGGTTACACCCCTTTACGATCCATGAGATCGCTAACTCCATAGTGGTCTGGAACCATGACTGGATATTCGGGGATGAAAGTACAAATCCAACCTAAAAGAAATTGAACCTGCCCTAAAATTAGGCCCCTACTTTATTCTTCTCGTATTCATGTACACTTTCTGACTAACATACGATCAATAGATTAATCCTAAACCTGTTTAATCTATGTTGGTTGAATATTAATGCACAAACAAAACTATTATTGACGATCACTTGAATTATAATCATATTAACCTAAACAAGATTATTAATTATCTTATTAAGCATTGGGTAGCACTACCCATTAACCCACAATTTTGAATTTGGGTAGCACTACCCATTAACATTTTCCGTCCAATTAAGACGTTATTGGAGCCTACTTTTTTCACTTTTGCCACCCAATTAACTCTCCCAATTTGTATAAAGGTTTTAATTAACCTTAATTAACCTAATTAGGGTTTTAGTTAGAATTCATTCTAGGGTTCATGAGTTTAGTATTATTTGGGGATTTTGATTTCTAAGGTTTGGGGGTTTAATTGAATTGGGGTTTTTGCATATATTAGCATTAATTGGCCATTGTAATTGAAAAAAGTGAAAAATTGGCCTAAAATAACGTTTTAATTGGACAAAAAACGTTAGTGGGTAGTGCTACCCAAACTTTTCCAAACTTGTGGGTAGTTCTAAACAAATAAAAAAAAAATGGATAGTTGTTCACAAATGCCCCTATCTTTAGGGTAATTCTACACAAAATTTCCAAATAATAAATCAAACAATTAAATCAAATAATTGAAATAGAGATTTGGGACCAAACCCTCAGAAATTATCAACCTTTGACGTCTAGGGCGAAGGCAACTTCGAACTTGGCTAGGCGTGTCTAGAACTAATGAATGTGGAACTTTGTAAGAGGGAAGGTTTAGAAAAACAATAGAGAGAGAATAAGCTTCTAGCTTTAGAGAGAAGAGAGAATAGGATTAGATAGTTGTGAATGAATAAAAATGGGGATATACGACCCCTATTTATAGAAAAATAGTCCGGAAACCGATAGAAAAGAAATCGAGTCCCATTCGGAATAAAAAAACCTCTTGTCGTGAACGACAGTAGTTAGTGCCAGATGACAGGTATTAGCAGTAGGCGGGCAGCACCAGCGCTAGGCGACAGACTCTGTCGTTTGGCGCTAATTAAATTAAAAGATAAAACACGCTTTGTACAAAATCCTTTTCCTAATATAATTAAGTAATTAGAATCCGTGTTAAACAGTTTTAAGATTAGATTTATCATAAGACACTTATTTATCATAAAACTCTTTACAAATATAATTATTAATCCTAATTCCATTAGAATTTAAAAGAACCTTCTAGATTATTTTAGAAGATTAAATTCAATCCTAATAAATTTAGGAATAATTATTAATAGGTCCTCCTCTAGATCATTGGGCCACATATAAAATTCATTTCAAGTCCAATTTAGTTTTTAGGCCATAATTTCCTCATTATTTGTCGAAATTAGGCTCATAATATATCGTTGAAAAGCTCTTTTCGAGCCCAATCCAATTACACTATTATTGGACCCTTATTATGGACCAAACTAAATTGGACTGGCTATTTTCATAAATAGAGTATAAAAAGAAATATTTTCAAAAACAGAAAGAGAGATATCTTAATAAAAACAACCGCATCACTAGAATTTTCACACTTTCACTTTGTTCAATAATTAAATGACGTGAAAGGTATTCATCACTGGGTTTGGTTTTGGGGAGACATATTTGGGTGTCTACACTATGGCAGAAATCAGGGACCCAAATTTGAATTTTGGAGGAAGTTGAAAATTTTAAATTTGGTGCCCAAATAGAAAATTTTCTCGAAAAGTTTCCCTCCTTTTTGTGTAAACAAACTGGCAGCAGCAAGTGGGGGTAAAATTTTGGTCCCCACTTTCTCTCTCATTAATCTTTAGTCACTTCATCTTATTTTTGTTAATGTAATTTTATCGAGCGATTTTCATAGATAATGCTAAAAAAAAAAATAATTCCGAATATATGTCAGTTTTAAAACTATTTCCTGTGATACCGAACACATAGGCTTAGTGAAGGTTTGTAAAAAAAGAACCGCTAATGTTATTAGCAGTTTATCTTAAAATGCTCACTAACTTGTGGGAAATTTAAAAATATTAAGCCTTCATCTTCCACCAAAGCCAAATACAAAAAGGCATGACACCACTCCACTCCTTCATATCTTTAGTTATAAAATTGCAACTCCATACTCTAAAGCTACCTACTACTCCAAATTGCCGTCGAAACCACCTACCACCTGTTATTTCCGCCGCCGCCGTCGACCGAGCATCTATGTGCAGGAACTCAATTCACCCATCTTTCTCCTGATTGAAAGGTTAGCCCTAATTTTGATTTATTTATTTTTACAATAATTTCGAGTCTACAATTCTAATTATTTACTTATTCTATTAAATCCTAATCAAAATTTGATCAAAAGTAGTTGCAAACTTGCAATTTCTAATTTATAACCCTTAATTAATTTCGTAATTCATAAAAACCCCTAATTGATAGTTAGAGATGTTCTAATTTGTTACATGCAATGTTTCGTGTTGGCTACATTATCGGATTATCACATCATATATATAATTTCTTTGTAAATTATATAATTGTTTTGTTAATAGAATTTATCTAGGATGGTATTACATCTATTTCATTGCAAGATCATTGTTAGATTGAAACCTATGAAATCATACTGTATGCTGTTAAATGGGTAGCTTGTAAGGCTTTTTTTTTTTTTTTTTTTTTTTTTTTTTTTTTTTTTTTTTTAATGGGCAATTTGATATCACTAGAGCTAACAATCTAGTATGTATTGCTCTGTTAGGAGTGTGGATTTTTGGATTGTCTCCATACCATTGAATTACCAATCTATTGTTGATTTCAGTGCTTTAATATATAGTCTACTATGATCACGAACAATGCACTTAGTTTGTAGATATATAATAATTTCATACTTCTTACAATTGCACTAAAGTTTATAACTTATAGGTAGTGTTTTGGTAATTTTTATTGTATCGTGTTCAATGTATTTTATATGTCATTTATCAACTAATCTATTATTCATATGACTGACTTACTAACCACTCATTGAAGTTGGCTTTTTAGATTATTGAGTTCTCAAATTTCCCTCTTCTATGATATATGGGTGGGGACCTTGTTGAAAAAGGAGGTGATGTTTCATACATAGGCAGAGAGACTAAGTTTGCATTTATAAGTTCTACTTTGAAATTTGTGTATGTTTTAGATAAAATATATGAAGTTGTGGATTGTGATCCAATGCCGCATGTGGAGCTGAAAATTAGAATAAGGTATCTGATTTACAGTTCTCATGTAGCTATTCAGCTGAATGATGATAATTCATTAGTAGCTATGTGGGATACCGTGAGACAGAATACAATGTCCAATATGAAATTGTATCTGGAACAGGCCAGGTTCCTAGAATACCAAGTGTGGTGACTAACTTGGGTTCTTTTCCTATCACGGATTCATGGTCAGATATGAAAACGACCATGAACTTGACAAATTCAAGTGTATTAATGGGATCATTCATAAGAATGCTCACAGATGGTCAATACATTAGTGAGCACTTGTCAGATTTTGGATCTTCACATCCCTCACAACACATTGAAACTACCTTCTTAGGTGATTATGACTCGACTCAACCCGAGATTGATGTGCAAGTCATTGATGATGTTGGGGTAGATACTGATGATGGTGAAGATGACGAGGTAAGAGAGGCTAACAAAGTTGCTATCAAAGCAAGTGCACCTTCACATGAATTCAACAATGTTCCTGAGTTTGACTAAAAGTTAATTGATTCTTGGAGAACATGGTCAGGGAACAACACATATGCTGGTAATGGTGAGTTTGTCACTGGTGGAAAAATTTTCATTTGTAACACCCTATTTGTAACGAACATGATAAAATTCGTTACAAATGCAGTAATTGTAACGGGCAAAACACATGACCGTTACGGAAATAACTCATTGTAACGGACAAGTAAATGCCCGTTACGACTAGTTAATAATTGTAATGGGCAAATAAATGTCCGTTACAAATAGTTAATATTTGTATCGGGCAAATCAAAAGGTCGTTACACCTAAATCAAGTGCTAGGGTTTTATTCTCTCGCAACCGCTATTCTCCTCAAGTGCTCTCTCTCTCTTCCTCTTATCTTCTTCCTCAAGATGTCTCTCTCTCCTCCTTTCTCTTACTCTTATCTCCTCTCTATTTTTCCTCTTTCATGTTATTGACGCGTCGGTCGGTGCTAGCAATGACGACAATGGCGCAAGGACTTGATACAAACCCACCTCTCATTTTCCCCTTTTCGAAATGATTTTTCCTGAAGGTTCGTGCTTCATCTTTTCTCTTTAAATTATTTAATTTCATTATTTCATGTTTTTTAAGTTTTTGTTTTGCTCAAATTTACAATTTCATGTTTTCGGAACTAAGGGTTTTCTAAATTTTGATTTTAATTCAATTTTCTCCATTGAAATTGTGCCTTTCTCAACTACATACAACACCACAAATTACTGAATTTTTATAACATTTAATTGTCAGTATTTCTTGAAATTATATACATCTGTGTTTCTGAGCTCTCAAATTACTGATGTTCATTTGAAAAAGGGTTTTTTTTTAATAAAAAATATATATATTTTTCTGTTTTCGTTGATGTTTGTCTTCGATTTTTCACTTGTAATTATATTTAGATTTATTTAAATTTGATGCTTTAAATTTAGGTTATTAATTGATTTTATAGATAAATGAGATGATTTTGTGAGTAATTTGGGTAAAAAATAATTAATTATTCATGGTTAGGGTTACAAATTTGTCCCTGATGACACTAACCATTTAATTTTGGATTTTTGCAGAACTTACTCCTCCTTCAATGGTGGACAATCGAGGAGGTCCTCGCCTCTCTCCAGCTACTTCAATGGCGTCGTCATCGAATTTTTCTTTACAAACTCAAGCTCTATTGCCTCATCATTTTACTCGGTCATTCTTCGTTTACTTTATTACCTTCTCTTTTCTAAGTTATCCTTTTCTGGTGATGTTTTTCTGTCGTCTGTGTTTGTTTATCGATGTTTTTACCTTGAATTTTTGATTAATTGTGCCAGAAAACTAGTTGAATTGGATGATATTGAGCATTTTGAGTCGATTTTGTAATTATTTCGTACTGATTTTGTAAATGATCTTTCTGCATTGAGTTTTGTTAGTTGATTGATTAAATTGGAAATTGAATTGCACGAGCTTGTAATTTTAGTGGAATAATTTTAACTATTGAGCTATTTTCACAATTGAAGGCCTGTAGTGAAATGTGAAGGCATTAAGGCTTGAATTGAAATTGTGAGAGATGGAGTTAATGGAAATCATCTTGAATTCTTGAGAACAAACATTAACTCAAGCATTACGAATTGTCGTAAAGCAATGGTGAGATGGAGGATAGTGTGGTCACTTGTCAGCTCTCAGAGTTGGAGAAATGTGGATTTTGTATAATTTGGATTATGTGGATTTAAAATGCAAACATAGCTTAAAAAGTTCAATTGAAAACTTTACGAATGGAGACATACGGAGTACATGTAAATTACATAAAGATGATACTGGTATTGTCGCGTTAATGCGTTTATCTAATGAGAGTGAGCAGAAAATGTTTTTATTATGAAAAGTACTGAATGAGTTGTAAGCATACAAGTATAATTTGGTTTTGGTTGACTTGTCATGTAGTTAGTAGTGGGTGGCTTGTTTGCAATATGAATATGTAGGACTAGTTGTAGTTTCTCATTAACATAGTATAACAAGTATGTCAAATTACTCTAGCTAAAATGGGTGGCTTGTTCCCAATAGGAGTAATTATTATTCGGAAGTATGCAAGGAATACGCCGTAATAGTTTTTGAACCTTTAATTGCATTCCCTGTTATATGGATCTTTATTAACGTTTTCAAACATTGTTGTTTGCTTTTGTTCATTTGCTTTTAGTTATCATCAATTTGACTTTGAGCTTTATTATGGTTGAAGTTTGGGGAGAAAAATGTCTTTGTTAGAGCTGTTGCCTCACCCATTTTGAAGTTATTATGTGATTGCAAAAGTTTGATGAATCCTTTAACTGAATTAAATTGGAAATCAACTTGTATATTGTACTAGCTCTGATTTATTTAATGTATTTGTGCATAAGAATGTATCGTGTTACATAGAGGGTTGTTACTAAGTGCTTTTGGTTACTTTACACTTTTTAAATAATAATTTCCCCAAATTACCGAGCTTAGGTAGAGCCAGAGAGAGGGAGAGTTTGGGACTTAGTAGGGGATAATGGTAGTTTGAAAAAATATATGGTGGCAGCATTGTGCAATCTTGTGGTTGCACTTACCAGAATCGGGGTAGTAGCTTTAACGTGAACATACATTGGTGTGGGAGCATAAATGCAAAAAAAAAAAAAAAATTATAGTGTTTTATCTTTATGTATCTAGTTTTATTAGGATTAAATTAACTGTACAAAGACAAATAAGTAATACCTAATACCTTTATAATGCTCTCTTACTCAATTATTAGTTGATTTTTATACATCTAACATTTTTTTGCACTCCATTTTAGGTAGAGTGATCAAATTGGATGACATGGCAAAAGAGATTGTCAAAATGGTGGAAGACAGCCTCGGAATTGAGATCAAAGTTGCAGCAACTCGGAAAAGAGTTGGAAGATGTAAATTATTTAACACTAATTTAGAGAAAAATCATTTAATTCTTATTAGTCTTAAGTAAACTTGTTTATTTTTGTTATAATTGAGATTTATTTTAGCTCTTCTAATAAGTTTTAGGTATTAGTTAATTGTATATTAATTGTATTCTATATTTGTATAAAAAATAAATCTCTCAATAATTGACAAAATGGTGTGCAAGGCTGAAAGCAAGCTGTCCAGCATTTGATGGATTTTTTTTTTTATAATTGGATCAAACACTATTTGTAGCAGGCATATTTTATGTCCGTTACAAATAACCCCGTTATTCGTAACGAATAACAGGGTTATTTGTAACGGGCATTTGGGTGTCCGTTACAAATAACGGGGTTATTTGTAACGGGCGTTTGAAATGCCCGTTATTTGTAACGGGGACTTCTTTTGCCCGTTACGAATAATTACCTATTTGTAACGGGCAACCGCCCGTTACAAATAACATTTTCTATCCGTAACGGTGGTGGGTTAAAAATAACATTTTTTAACCGATTTTAGGTCCGTATAAATTACTATGTGAGAATAAAAACCCTCGGTCATGGGTTAAACTAAAAAGAAAACACATGAAAGTTAGCACCAAGCAACCACATAGCATTTAGGCACGATGATGTAAAAAAAGTTCGCAACCTAGAGTCAAGATCTATGTTCAAACTATTGGTCAAGCTTTGGGTTTCAAAAGGGTATCATGGTTAAGAGTTTGGACGCGTTAACAAGGCAGCCTCCCTTGAGGGTGTATGCCAACGGGCGGCTCCGCGAGTTCGTGATGAAATCGAACTCGACTCCATGGTTTGAGTGGATTTAATAACTCAGATGAACCCTTATTGCCATGAGCGTTTTTGGGTCGATAGAGCTTAAATCCCCCGGGGCTAAGACGCATGTAGAACACATACGTTTATTCAGAAAAATCGAAGGAAGTCGACTGTGAGGAAAGAAAATAAGCCACCGGACAGATTTTAGGACTGTCGTGACACGGCAAAAATTCATGTGTCACGGTACTGTGCACCGTCAGACGGTGCACTGTACCGTGACACGGCAGACTCTGCCGTGGCACGGGACTCAGAAGATCTGACTGGTGCCTTGTTTTCCTTCGCGCGCAACCAAGTTATCCAATTTTTCCTACGGGACAGACCTGAATGCGACGTTAAAACGTCTATGCAGATGCAAAAATGCCAAATTAATCACAGGAATATTTTTTCAAGAATCTTTCAAGTCTCATCCACTCATATTAATTAAATACCGATCACTCAAATCGATAAATAATTAAGAATCCTCCCCAGCGGAGTCGCCAAATTGTAGGCGGTTCGAAGTGCGCCTACGTAAAAAGCATGTGTGAATATGCTTGGCACTCATAGGAAGTGGAAATTGACATTACGATTAGGGACAACGATTAGGAACAAATAAAGTAGGGAGCCGCCAACAAGTTTTTAAAGAACTTGTAAACCGTTCACGGATCATAAAAAGCAATCACGATAAAGGGACAACGAAGGCAACAACGATTGACCCGTGAAGGTTACACCCCATTCATAATCCATGAGATTACTAACTCCATATGGTTCGGAACCACGAAAGGAGGATCGGGGATGATGGTACGAAGTGAGTCACGGAGTCACATTCGCCCGTATTGGCCTCTGCTCGATTCTTATATTGAAAAGTGATTCTTGCGATCTCAAAGGCATACAAACAAAAATTCAATTTTCTCCAAACTATTATTATGCTAAATTGGTTGAATATTAATGCAACACATAATTCTAAAATATTGTGATCACTTGATTTAATAACAAGATTAAAAAGGAAGCTAAGCCGGTTGTCCAAATTATCTTATTAGGCGTGATTTTCAATTACATATTCCCTTTAAACATGCAATATGGTGATCATAACAATAATAGAATAAACATTAATATTGGAAGCAATTTAATCACAATTCCAACAACATAAAATCGTTAGAAAAATAATAAAAACAAAAGGAGCATGGTCCTTACTTTGACTCTGTTTGTTTGCAACTACAAAATAATAAACGAGTTAGTAACTTCAAGGAAATAATAAAACAATAACTAAATTAAATAAAATAAAGTTGATTTTGGGGCCAAACCCTCAAACAATTCTACCTTTCACGCCTTGGTTTAAGGACAGAACCTCGAGTAAAATATGGACTCCTTTGAGTACTTGAAGAAGGAATTTTGAAGTGAAAAGGGTAGGCTAGTGTTTAGGCTAAAGCATAGAAGAGAGAAAATAAAATAATCGAATTACTCCCTGCCCCTGTTCATCAGAAATGAGGGGGTATTTATAGGGAAAATGTGCTGAGGGAGCACACAGAACCCTAAAATGATAAAAACCCTAAAAATGTATCCCGTGACACGGTCAAAATGTACCGTGACACGGGAAGCCCACCGTCATGACGGTACACTTCTCGTGACACGATACAGTTTTGGCGTGACGCGGGAAATTTTCAGAAAACGGGATAGAAAACGCATCAAGGGTTTACGCGGAATAGACACAGAATGTCCCGTGTCACAGGAAATCCCACCGTCAGACGGGAAGGATTCCTGTGACACAGTGGCAGTCTGTCGTGGCGCGGGAATTTCCAGTCCATTTTCCGTCTAAATACATTTTTAACTCTAATTTCCTTCGGCTTTTTAAAGTGCCGATTGATAATTTCGGGCCTTTTCTAACTTTTATTATTCGGGCTAAAATAAGAAAATAATTAAATAAAAATAAATAAAAGGTTATGGCCAAAAATAAATAATAAAATAAAAAAGGTTTGGGCTGAAAATTAATTAATAAGTTTGGGCTGAAATTAAAACTATGCTTTTACCAAACATCAAGACTAATCCATGGATTGTTCAAAAATATGAATTTAATAAAATACGATTTTTAAGCATTCTCGGGATTAAATACTGAACCCGGCCAATAGTGGCGGTGAAAGGTTGTTCATCATCGGGTTTGGTTTTGGGGAGACATTTTTAGGTGTCTACAGTTACGAATAGTCTTTTTTCGACTAGTGTGTTGTTGGCCAAGAATTTGATTCTTTACAGCAATTTAAAGATGCATTGAAATTGTACTCTTTAACAAGAAATCAAACATATAAAGTGAAGGAGGTGGAGTCGGACAAATATGTTGTTGAGTGCAAATGAAAGAAGGAATGCAATTGTCTTTGGAGGCTACGTGCAATAAAAAAACTAGCCCTTCCTATCTTTACAATTGTCAAATATGGGGGACCTCATGCATCTAATTGTGTATCTGACATCAACAAAGTTGACCACCCTCTTATCACTTCTGATTTTATTGTAGTATCATATTAGATCTCATACGAGCCGATCCTTCTTTTAAAGTACATGCTATAGTACAAGTCATCAAGGACCGCTTTCACTATTCCATAACATATAAGAGGGCTTGGTTAGGGAAGCAAAAGACAATTGCTAGCACTTTTGGCTATTGGGAGCAATCATATGAAGAGTTGCCAAAGTATATGCAAGCACTTCAAGAAGCAAACAAAGGAACCGTTGTTCATTGGTGTACGATACAAACATTAGATCCTTCTATTCACGTGTTTAAGAGAGTATTTTGGTCTTATAAGCCGTCCATTGATGGCTTTCATAATTGCCGACCTCTTATCACCATTGATGGCACTCATCTTTATGAAAAGTATAAAGGAACACTTCTCATTGCTATGGCTACAGATGCAAATTTTCAATTGTTTCCTCTTGCCTTTTCTATTGTTGAAGGAGAGACCGGTGAGGCTTGGGAATGGTTTATGGCATGTATAAGACAAGTTGTTACACAGAGACAAGGTATTTGTGTAATTTCCTAAGTCAATTTTGAAAACAATGACCGAGGTAGGCAGTGGATGGGAGGAGCCTCATTCTCATCACAGGTTTTGCATCCGCCATCTTGCTTCCAATTTCAATTCTGAATTAAAAAATGCTCACTTGAAGAACTTTTTCGGTCGTGCAATTGATGCATACCAATAAAATAAGTTCAACTATTACTTTAAGAGGATTAGTGAGATAAAGTTGGAAGCTCGTGAATGGTTAGCAATAAACCATTACATCAATGGTCACTTCTACATGATGGGGGCTTCAGATATGGAATAAAGACCACAAATATGCCTGAGGCCTTTAACGACGTGATGAAAGGAGCTCGGTGTTTACTTATAAATGCTCTAGTTAAAACGACATTATATCGAGTAAATTCTTACTTTGTGACTAGGAGGGGATGGAGTAAGAGGAGACTTGAAGAAGGTCATGAGTATTGTGAAAAGGCTACCAAAGTAATTGAATGGAACTTACAAAAATCAGCAGCACACACTTTGATTGTGAACGAGCGAGGTTTGTATATGTGACTATAGGTCAAGGTAATCGCCCTTCTGGTAAAGGTGGTAAGGTGCACACTGTTAATCTTAGAAGGAAAACTTTCACTTGCCAGAAATTAATCATAGATAAGCTGCCATGTTCTCATGTCCTAGCGGTTTGTTGGTATCTAAGCTTGTCATATATATGCCTAATTTGTTGATCCTTTCTCCAGTACTGATAAGCATAGAAAATCTTATATTAAATCCTTCAAACCTTTATCAGATCCTTCGTATTGGAGAGATTATATAGGGCCAAAAATCATTGCTCCTCCATGGGATAAATGTGGTCAAGGACGCCCTATTTTAAAAGATTTCCAAACGAAATGGATGAGAGTAGACAAGAAAAGAAACGAAAATCATGAAGCTTATTCCATAGGAAAGGACACAATAAAAAAACGTGTTCATTTAGGAATAACGAGGGTACTTCAGGGTAGTTTTTGTACCTCATATTGTAATCCGTAATTGTGTGATTGCTTTTATTTTTATAGTTTTATAACTTACTCACTATATTAACTAACATTGCTTATATTTATTTTAGGTCTAATGCAGCCGGGCCCTCAAGATCCCTCGGTACTTAATCTTTAAGCAGACCATAGGATTGAAGGTGTGTGGAAGGGGGAGGCAGATAGAGTGTTGTCGTGTAGAGAGCATTTGTTTTCTCCAACTCATAGATGGGAGGTAGACGATCGAATCTTACATTATGTTAAGGAAGCATGATTCTATAGTGTACATAGATTGGCATGTGGTGTTGAGATTGATCGGCCTCTAATTGCTGCGCTGATTGAGAGGTGGAGGCATGAGACGCATACCTTCCACTTGACAGTCGATGAGGCTAC